AATCAGCCGGCCTGGCCTCGGCTGGGTCGGGCCGGGCTGAAGTGGGCTCGACGCAGCCGCTACGAATCGTCCCTTTTCCTCTGTCATAATGACATGGTCATCAGTCCTCAGTTCGTCACTGTAACTACAACATGGGCTTATAGCACAGTACGCGATCGATCGAGCGTTTTCTGTGCGACTGCGAAACTACTTAACTATTTCGGCTCGCGCGCTCCACCGACTTGTCTTTTCGTCGGCTCCCAACTCCAGAAACCTGGGCGGCCTTCGCGGTCCTCAGCGGCCGTACCAGTTCGAACTGGTCTAGTCCAACGGCTGAACACTTGAAGGTGACAGTAGCAACGGCAGTGACAACAGCTCCAAGCGTCGGAGCAGTGTACGACGAGCGGCCCTCGTCCACTCAGCGTTGTATGGTCGATCTCGGTGGCAAGCGCGACCCACAGTCGTTCGATGAGTGTCTGTCTGTGCATGTGTTGCCGAACTCCGAGGCAACGGATGCCAAAGAAGTACATAGCTACGAGCGGGAATTGAGAGGTGGAGCCGACCAAACTACTAACGTCGTGTAAATAGCTACGAAGCTTGTAGACCAGATACGGCAGTCCAAATGGCCGGTGCGCCTTGCCACCTATGATAATCATGTGGGAGAAGGCGTACGCATGTCGGTTGAATAGGCCTCTCAGCTAGCTTCACTCAGCTCCGTCTTCAATCAAACGCGCACAACTCAGGATAGACACAGATAAATAATGTTACAGAACTGAACGCACTGCGTTCGATAGACGACATGAGACGGCAATCATGGTCACTTTACCAGGAACGGTGGGTTCTAGTCACGATCTCTATTGTTGCTGCCGCTGTCCTTCTTATGTATAAATGTCAACACTTACAGTGATGTGATGTTTGATAGGATCGTTGAATATTTAGTGCATTCTTTTCAATGGCCCTAAGTAGCCTTAAGTATTGAAGTAACTAATCATTGGTCACCTCTGTGATAGCAACTCGAAAAGGACGTTAGGACAAAATGTCCAAAATAAGTTCTTGGAGAAAAAAAAATAGCGATAATCCTTGAAGTGCTTCAAATTTATTTTACTGTTAAAACATCAACGTACTATGATGTCTAAAATGACCATCAAAGAGGGACCAGCTTTAAAATGCCTTGTACAGGAACGACATCTTGCAAAATTATGCATACATTATTAGTATTATCCAAAATAGCTATCGAAAGAGGAAGGCTAAGAAATTAGTTGGGGAACCGCCCCAATTTACTGAGACATGACTTTCCTACTTTATACCGCGTCAAATCTGGGCGTGGTAGCGGTATTAGCCAGTCACCATTGTTCGAAACTGCTTCAATGGGGAACGCCCAGTATATAAGGGAAAAATATTGAGCGAGGTAATGCGTGGCCTATTCTGATGCGGCCTTATAGCTCTATAATCGACACATCAGAGCCAAACGTTAATTTAAAATGGCCGGGATTTTTTTTTCCTATTACGAAGTGCATGTAAACTTACAGCATCGGGCACATCTGCAAACGCAATAGAGTTTCATCCAGCATCATTTTGAGACTAAAAAGTACTACCCGTTGTATGACTAAGTAGTTAAGGACATCTGGACTTGCTGTTTCCTTGCTTCTGCGTTTCGGAGGCTTCATTCATCTAAAAACAGGTTTATCCAGGATTCGCAGCGCCCGATCGACCTTTGCCCTTTTTTGCGGTAATTGACGCAATATGATGTACCGGCATTAGTGACGGCTTCTTCGTAAGTTGTAACTAACTGTATTGGACTGACTAGAAATCGTAAGTGCCTTGTCAGACTGATTGACTTCGAGTCATGTTGAAGTGCCGCACACAGCTGTCCGCCCCCATGACGGCTTCCGTCACGTGAATGGCGTCTAGGTAACACACTTAGCTAGCCAACTAACTAAGCAGTAAGGCAACGCAGCGAAAATTCATGAAGTAAATGAAACGATAATGATTGTGACGGTATTCATAAGTTATTCGAACGGCGCTATCCGTCCGGGACCTCATACGGGCAATAGGTTTGCGTTCGCTGGTGTCGCGCACAAACCTTTGTCTCTATCCTTCAGTTACTTACAGGATAGGCTCCAACCGTACGCTAAGGCGGAGTCACTTTTGCGTGAGCGTTGGCTTCGAGGTATTAGGTCAACAGAACTACAAGGTAAAATGTTACATATATTGGATTGTTCATCTAGCGTGCATGTATGTATCATCAATAACCCACAGGTTTACCGTCAATCGAGTCGGCGATGACCCTCGCCGCTAACCCATGATCCCTCCAAACTTTCGCCTTCATAGTCAACGACCTCATCGCGGTATCGGTAGAAATACCGTGGCACACAGGAATCTTTTGTTTCAGCAATCGAAAGATTCCCTGACAATTCAGTCTTGCTTCTGTGTGCCTATGTTTGTGCAGGTCTATGTATCTAAGTTGGATCTACGAACAGTAAATCCGGCATAACTGAGAAACAATATCTACCAAAAATCTTCGTACCATTGCGCTGATCAAGCTTCTATAGGCGAGCGGAAGACGATAGAGGCTTTACCTCACCCAGTGTTCACTGTCTGTTTCGTATTTTTCTGCTTCGAGTAGTGGCTTTATGTAGAATCGAGCTGAGCTAGCTATCTGCAGAGATAGAAGCAAATATACGTATAGACGTGAGCGTTGTAACCACGTCAAAAGTGTCTCCGCACAGTGGACGCAGTCGCTCGGCTAGAGGCTTGCTGTGGCCTATCTTTTCAGCCTCTAATCGCGCATCAGATCAACGAAATTCTTCGGGACGTTGCCGTTGTTTTGGCGACTATCCACTGCTCCTTTTAATCATCTCTTGTGTTTTTCCTACTTAGTTATTTATTTAATTATTGTAACGCTATCTGCTAAACAAAATCCCTATTGAAGTCCGAAAATCTGCTTTTGTGGCTGTGTCGGTGCATGAGGACGTCTTAGACCGGGCCGAAGCGTGATAGGAAAAGTCGACGCGCTGTGAAAACGAACACGCCAATGAAGATAAAAAGTACTTACTATTACCCAAGGATTAATAGCGAGATACGGATGATTCACGAATGATCTCGCAAATAGTTTAATAGAACTACCGAATATAAGCGAGTAAGAGAGCGATCCTCACAGCAATAAAAATAATAAAAATGGTTCGAGTAAAATAGATACTTGCACGTTGGACGAGAGACGCACCAGAAGCTAAAACGGACGACGACGATGAAAATGTCAGCAACAAACACGAGAATATAAAAAAAAAAAAACTGAAGGAAACGCTCCGTAAATATTGAGTATCGTTGCCCCTATCTGCATTATCTGTGTGTATAAAGGGCTCACACTTCCAACGATGACACTTTCCCTCGTGCGCTATGGCGGTCAACGTGCAACGTTTTTGTCAGTCGTATTTCTTTGGTGATGTTTACCTCTAGAACAGACTTCTTTCGGCCTCTTGTGAGGGCCACGTTGTCACATAGGCCTGATTATGGCTGGCGTCATCGTTTTTATAGTCGTTTCTTAATCGATGTTATGATTGGGACTGCTATGTGCTATTGATGGTGCCGGCGATAAAGGCTGATATTTTTTGTCGAAATGGTTAAAGCCGCTGGCTGACGGAATGAATATCTATGTGTGTTTGTGTGTGTGTGTCTTTGCACGACGCTAAGTGTTGGTAGCTGTCATAAGTTAGCGTAAATGTACAGTACATTGTACCTTGAATCCATGCGCTACTCCGCCCCTGTTTTTTGGGAGCCATCAGACACTCATAATAGAATGGTAGCAGCACCAGCAGCGACGGGAGCCGCACGGGCGACATCAGCCGTAATAGACCGAGTTGTATCAGCTCGCAACAGTAGCCGTCTGCGGTTTACCTCAGTAACAACAGCGCCCGAGTTAGTATCAATACTTAATACATAGTAAAGGATGCGGCGGAATGACGATGGGCTGATAGCAACGCCGAGGCGATTTTACGGCGCTGGCGTTTGACGTTGGACTTGTTTTTAACGCCTTCTTTGTCATCGCTGCCGTCGATTACAGTGATACAAACACAGACGGGCAAACAGACATACACGTTGGCACCTACAAGCGTATCGATTTGCGGACCGCTGTACACGGAGCACTATTTAATCTCACCGTCACAGAATGCATTGCGAAATAAATACCTGGGTTTATACTCCCGACATTAGCCACTAGGACTTCACTGGCCGTGGTGCTCCAGCTTACCGCTGATCGAAGGAATAGTCAGTACTTCCGATCCGCACGTTCCGGTACCAATCAATCGAGCAAGCATATTTTGTTTTTGATTTGCCAACTGTCGACTGTAAAGAAGAACCACTATTCTTTGACATTTATTTCGTTTAAAAAAAAAATATTCGTCGACAAAGAAGGAGAACGTGCAAGACGCACAAAAGAAGAGCGAAAATGCCAGATGATGAGCGAAACATTGTGACAAGAGGACAAACATTATTACTCCATAGGACTTGATTGATAGCAAGCGTGAAACAAGCAATTTTGTAAGCTTTGAGCTTCAATGGATTGTTTTGTTATTTATTTTTCGTTGTTTCTAAACCTATTTTTTATATTTTGCTGTTGACCCTCTTTTTGGAAGTCAGGAACTGACTGGGTTCCATCGTTGTACAATTTTATTTGTAGAAATAGCTGAAATTCAGGCCGAAATTTGTAAATTGGTTGCTTTTTAGTCTAGAAGGATTTTGTGACTGTCTTAGCAATCCTGACTTGATTTTATGCTCTGACTTAAAGGAAGCGGTGGGTCTGAGGTCTAATGGAGACGGACCCGAAAGTATATTCTATCCTCCAGTACTTCTGTCGAGATATCATTGAATTAGAGAAAGATATATTTACCTTGAGCTTTTAACCTTTGTCACCTTTCGCTTGAGATATGACCCTTACCAAATTCTAACTTTTTTGCTGTTAAGCTGTTTTTTAATATCGTTAAAAGGGTCTCACTCTCTAACCTGTGTGCTTTCTGTGCTTGCAGGTGAATGTCTGTCTTACGGATACAAGTCACCTCTGAGCACAGGTAAGTGCTATTCTCGGCAAGCTGCGTAGAATCTATCTACCGATCAGACTTGACGTTTCGCTACCAGTATTCCATGTGAAGAGTTCGATTCCACTAATCTTCACGTATTGTAATTGTTATATCGAACTTTCAATACAGAACACTTGCGTTCAACAGGTGCAAAATGCTGGGGTTTGCTAGTATAGGTCAAGCTGATTGTAAATTTAAAACAATACAGCCATTGATGCTGCATCACACACAATCAGCTGTGAACTAGAAAAAAAATTTATGAATCGGTCCGTAAAAATAAAATTCTTCCTTTTCGTGCGTTTTGCCTTTGCAAGATTTCCTAACCTTTGTCATGTTCTGTCTTTTCTTAGCTGCTTATCGTTTGCTAAAAAAATCCACACTCGTACGGTGGATCAGTTCTGAAAATGAACGCCATTAGCGGGCATCGTATTCCACTATGATTATATCATCGCGTTGCCATCATTGTGTGGAGAAATGTGACTCTTGCGTCATTAAGAGCAGCAGTCCGGTATCACTTGTCCTTTTCGTCTCTCAGCCGCACTCCGGCAACCCCCTGCTGAACACACTGCAATACTACGCCAAAGTTCACATTGTTGTGAATGAGCGCAGGGACACCGTCGCCTTGTCATGCCTTGTCATCCCCAAGGCCCAACCAAGTGCAATCAGCTGATCACACTATCTCAACTATACGCTCTTTGTCATTCTCGCGTTCGGTTTATGACCGCTCAATTGCTGGTAGTTCCAGACGAGGCCTTAGGCCGCAAAAACTTTTACGGCTAGGGGCAGCTTACGCAAGGATAGGACATTTCCCAATACCCGTTTTTCTTCTGTTATAATATGTTCATATATATATATATATATATATATATATATATAGCATACGTAGCATATATATATGCTAATAATGTCATAATAATAATAGTGAATAGTAGTGGGCCAAACCGAGACAAAGTTTCCGAATTTTTTTCTCGCTTTCTTCACTCTCTTTCTTCGCTGGTGGCCTGAATGGCTCACTATTCATTACTAAATAGTATGAGTCTCTATTGGCAAACAAGCAATGGTTTTAGATGTAGTGCTCGCCAGTCAATATCTCACTGTTGCTGCCTCTCGACTACTTCAACCGCTGTCCTGTAATCTCATTGCGTGAGGCGTCGAGGCAGTGCCACAGCACAAACAACACTGCTGACGAAAGATAAAGGAAGCATCACGATCGTGAGCAGCAGCGTCTTGAACACACGAGCAGAAGCGTTCCTCGAAGTTTACACCTAGTAGGCGCTGGCCGATCCTGCCCTACTTAATGGGGACCTGACAGAGATGGATGACGGTCTGCGGCAGGCTCACGTGCCTTCTGGCGTGGCTGAAGCCGGCGCATCTCCCGATAAGAGGCCAGTGGGATGAAGCCAGCCCGGAATCTTTTGGTGCTTCCCAGTCTCAGCGGTTCAGTGGCGACCTAAGACTCAAGAAGTGTTAGGCGGACTCAGCCTTGCGACGAGTCGTGGAGTCGATTGGTAGGTTGGATGTTTGACGGGGCTATAAACGAACGAGCTTGTATTGCCGATGAGAAAGAGCACCAAGTAACGGGCAACTTGACTCAATTGCTTTGCAATATGGCCTAAGGACTATAGCGCTCTATTGGCGCATAGGAGGTTCGGAAGACTATTGGCAAAAATAGTGGTAATATTCTATGGAAGTGAACTGACAGATATGTGGATAGTTGGCACGCGTCTCAAACCAGCAGCTGTGCGGCTGCTACAGCAGGGCTGCGAAGCTGTCGAGAAGCAGTGCGGAAATCAGATTACTACTAGTAAGCTATTCGAAGGACGTGAATCTAATTGAAACAATGGTTGTGCGTGGCTGAAAGCGTTATGAACAATACAATGACTGTTGTGGTCAGTGATAGAAACTGTCAGCGTATCGATCTTAGGTATTTTTTCTGTCCTATTAAAACCTTAAATGGCGGTGAGAGTATCAGTAGGATTAGTCGAACTTCCGAAACGGACCCAGTTTTTCATTTTACTTTGATATTCGTTTACGTGTTCGTATGCGCGTGACGACTATTTAGGGGTTTCGCCTTTGGCCGTTACCTATTAGCATTAGTGATTGCTTCCGCAACGGCATGTAGCATTATGTATCATGTTAGAACATTGCAATCGTTTCCGAATCTCCGCTGGCGAATACTTTTTGGCTGGCAGTCGTTGTTGAGTGGTTGATTTGGCTGTGGTTCGCCGCGTGGCTCCGATGATGCCGTAGCTGACGTTGATGCCAGTGGCTCTGTCGGTGCCTCCATGGGGCCGCCCTTCTTTTTTGTTGGCGGTAAACGCGATCGTCGCCAAGTCAAGGACCTCTTCCCTCAGCAGCGGCAGCAGTTCGGTCATCTCGTGTTGCGTTATGTCCGACCAGCGAAGGGCGAACAGACAACGGCAAAATCTTATTCTGTGTTTTGTCCGCCTTTGAATGCCTTTGAATGTCGACTGTGTAGTGTTGATTCTGATGCGCTCATTTCTTTTATTTCGCCTATTATCTCTTCACGAATTCAGTTGAAAGTAAGCAAAGTACGCGGTCGACGTAGGGGCAGGCTCATGGACGGCGTCGCATGTATTTGGAATCGCTTTTGTCCTCTCGATTTTCTGGATGTTTCAGTGTACTGTGGCCTGCTAAAGTACCGTAGCGCAAAGCTGCAAGTATAACAGCCCCGCGAGAGCTGGATCTGACCACCCTGCCCATGATTTATTAAGACATACGTTTTATTCATGCTGAAAAAGTTATAGTTTTCAGTTGGTTGGTGACAGCAGCAGCAAGATCTGTCGTTAATTTCTATTCGTTTCGAGAGAAAACTGCCTCGCGCAGTCTCTATCACAATCTGCTTTACCGGCCAGACTTACCTATAGGCAAAAGGATATGCATGCGTTGTGTGAGTGGTGGCATGTTGGAGCTAAATTTATTGCCTAAATCTACTCCTATCGCTGCTATCAACTCGGCACTAATGCACAGCCAATATTTTAGATCTTAAGGTAGACCATGTAGAGGTCCACCTCTTCGTTTGGATTGTTTTGTCTCGCTCAGACCGTAACCTCCTGCTATTTCCTCACATCCCTATTTAGTTTAAAAGGCTAGCATGTATCGTACATAAGCGCGCCGTTTTCCCCCTAGTTACCTCTTTTAACTTCTACGCGTCCACTTCATCGAACATATCCGCAAACGGATCTATCTCCGCAGCACAACAACCTCCAAAGGATCTGATCCATGACGTATTTCCAGCACCTTTGCTACGTCTTCCTGCGACACTCCACAGGCAGGCGCCATTCTTGCTCCCGTCATAGAACGCCCCGCTTAATGCGAGGGTGAATTCAGACGCTGTTGATGCCGCCGCTGGCGGCAAAAGCAGGGCGCCCGGCGCGCTTATTCTTTCCTAACACTAACCGTGTCTTCGGTAACGCCCTCTGGCGGTGCATCGATCTGTTTTTATGGGCTCTTATTGGTTGTTATAGGGTGACGTCACGCATAATGGCCCCCTCGCCCCACCGCTCCCCCGCCGCTGCACTTCCCTTGCTCTCTCCCTCACTACCTCATGAAGAAGCGAACGAGTAAGCAGCTAACCTTTCTTGTCTATCCCAGAGAAGAAGTGGCCTGGCAGACATCGGGCTTACTGGTCGGCCGAATCGGCCGAACCCGGCCGAGCTAGGATCAGTACGAGTGTACTGCCTTGCAGTTATCGAGCCCTCAGTTCTTGCCAAGATTTGGCGTGGCAGTCAGAAACTAGCTCTGCAGTGTGCTTTGTCAGTTCTCTCTTTTTTTTCTCTTCCTCTCGCGGCGTCCGGAAAGGGTCGTTCAAGGAAGCGGGGAAGGGAAGCGCATTGTTTCGGGGGCCAGATAGGCTTCGGCAGGCGCAGCCGCGCCGTCCCTCGTCGACCGCACGGTAGAACGTCGGGGGTGAAAACCGACCGAACTGTTGAGGGGACATGACTTGAAAGAGGGGTTGAGAAGGGAGAAGGTGGCGGAGGGGCGAAAAAGAGATTGGGAGATGGGCTTCGGAGGATATGACAGAGTTCGGGCCAGTGCAGCGCATGGGCCAACGTTCAGGAGAAGAGGAGAAGGCAGAACGATGGGCGCACGATGGTGCAAGACAACGGTTACTATAATTAAAATATTTTCAGCGTTTCCTCGGTGCGTTCACTTGTCCCCTATCCACCAACCTCCACTAGCGCCTAACCCCACTCGCTATAATATAGTATGGTGGAAACGCAGAATATGAAGATAGGAGACTCTGAGAGCAGAGGGAAGCAGAATGGATTGGGGTGATCAAACATGGCGGCGGCGCTAGTAGTTCGTGCCGGCGGTTCTCGTGTTGGCTGGAAAGGGAGAGCTGATACAGAGTAGGGCAGTGAAGCCCGACGCTGAGAAGGACGGGGAAAGGTATAGCTGCTTTTACGCGAGAAATCCGCCAGGGAGACACGCCAGAAGCGTACCAGACCTCCTAGTTTACCCCTCCTGCCTGTCAGGCTATGTGTCAGACAGCCGTGCACAGCAACGTATCGCACACGGCACGGCAGAGCAGGCAACGATCACTGTGCTTGCCTCTGTCGCTCCAAATTCACCCCTTTCTGCTGCCATTCCCCGAGTGGTAGCTTGGCAGCGGCTAACCGGCTGTTTCCCGGCCGTCAGGCTGGCAGACAAGCCGTAATGAGAAAACGCCTCTGATTAGATTGCAGTGTGCCGATCCATCCAGTCGCCTAGTTTCTCGACCGACCGACCGCTCGTACGCCTGCTCATCTCCTGCTATCTGCTCCGAGCTATGCCGGCTGCTATTCTTCCGGGACAGTATGTTGGCTCTGGTGGATGCCCACCATGGTGTTATCGAGGCGCTGAGAGAGAAATAGGATAGACAAAAGGGATAAAATGTAAGTAAGGACCGGAGAATGAGTGCAAACGCACATTGCAAAAACCCCAAGGGGACCTCGGCACGACGCGATTAAGAGCCGCGTCCGCGCTCG